TTTATATCGTTGAGTGCGTCAACCCCTACTGAAGCTTTATACTTATTATTGCGACCCGGCATAGAGAGTTGGCGTACCCACAATTTCACGTCCGTCATTCCGTAGTGAAGGAGGGGGAAGCCGGTGTATTGTCGCTGAAACGGGTTTTTACGGGGTTAATGAAATGCTTTTTGATAACAATGTATTTATTTGGCCGACAAACAAGTATGGATTTATGAGCCGACGAATAATATGATTATTACGGTACGGAACCGGAGGTTTCAGCACATTTGGTTGATTATGTACTTGTCACACATTTTGTTAACTGTGGCTTCCGGTATTCGACAATTTGTTATATTGCTAATCACGGCGTAACCGTAAAAAACAACTATTTTTTAAAGGACATTGTCCATTTGTTTATTATTTTTATAACAACTAAATCACTCTTCTCCGTACGTCAGGAGAATCTGCTAGAATGAATCTGGGGGCTTAGTCCGATATTATTCTAGTTGTTTCCTGAGTAAATAAACTTTCTTTTAACTGGTCGTAAACGAGTAAATAATTGCAATTTGTTGTAAATATGCTTGTAGATTTCAGCGGACGTTCTCGATCGTTGTTTATTATTTATTCTATATACATGGACTCGGATAACTCCGAAGATTGTATACCAATGATCTTTACAGAACCTATAACGTCGCATTAATAGTATTAAGCTTTTTTTGCTTTTTTTGCATTATTTACATTTCATGATTAATAATATTGTACAAGACAATTCTCCAAAAAAAAATGTATAATCATTCGTATACAAATTTATTGAAATATACTATGACTGTAATTCCTAATTCTAGAATCAACCATTATCGTTTCCAACACTTTCAGTTTTTAAATACATAACTGATTAAGTATGTCAAAATTATATTATCTAGGACCTAGGTTATTGTCCCGATTAACTTCTATTAATAACTATTGAACCTCTTTTTATCATTACTTTACAGCTTTATAAGCAAAAATAATATTTTCTATACCAGGTTTAATTGCTCGTAGTTTATTAGGTTATCTAATATATTTTTATTGTTTTAATCATGTTTACTAACCTTACCAATTAGATTAGCCAATTGGCGATTTCTTCTTTCCTCAAGATTTAATTACTATATTATTGTACTTGCTTACTTTATTAGGTGAACGTACAAATTGTAAGTTAATTAAATATTCTCGTTTGAAAATGATTGCCGAGTTGATTACTGTGTATTTGCAGAATATTTTTTTAAGTACCGTTTTTAAATAAAAATCTTCTAGCATTTTTAGTATTTAATCTAACGTGCTTTTTTTGTTTTGGTGATCTTGTATTACGGTATGCGTACGATATATGGGAAATTACTAATTTTCATAAAATAACTTATGACGTCCATAATTAATATTAATACAAGCGATAGGGTGTATTTTATTTTAAAATTGAACGTTAATAGAGAAGCACAATGACAGAATATTCTCAAATTTCTATAATTACGGGGAAAAAAATGTCTAAAACTAAGTATTAAGTAACACATGCGTATAGTTTTTTTTATCTTCTACCTATATTGTTAATAGTGTTTGTTTAACGTTCAAAGGGAACATATATCGTTCGACCGTGGTTCCTGTGTATACAGTATGTGTGATGTAACCCTATACTGGTGCCGTTATGAGTGGTATATGAGGCAGTGGCTTGGCGTGCGCACAGGTACCTATACTCACAATAATTATACACAGTTATAATTTTTATTTAAGTAGTTAATAATCTAAAGCACCGAAGTTTTAACGTAATAATCGTTATCCACGACGATGTTTACGATGCTTGTTGATAAAAAAAACAACGCGGAATTCCGTATTCGATTTCCGGTGTCAATTAGACCATAAAGTCACACTTATTTTTTCCCATACTAAAACGTATAAATACTTTCCGGTTTTCTAATAAAAAACGTTTGTGGTATATTTTGAAAAAATCTTCTTTCCGGCATAAGTAATAAATCTGTTCGAGTGACTCTTCATGTAGAAAGCTGTTGACTTTTATGAAGTGTGCATGTGTTTTTTTTTTTTTTTTACTTATCAACGTCAGAGCGGGGATGCATTTTAGTGTTCCCTTGAATATGAGTGAAATTTGTGTCATCAGCCGACCGACGAAGAAAGCGGTCCTGGTAGACGCACACATTTTGCCTCGGGGTCATAGCAGCAGCAGCATCACCCCGCCAACGAGACTTTCCCGCGTAGGTACTATAATAATATATACTTTATCCTTGTAATAATGAGATAATTGAATTTATATTATAATGATGACCTTCAAAATGCACAAAACGCAATGACCGCTACCACCGCACTACTTCAATGATTGCTATGTAAAAAACTATAATAATAACGTTGCTCGCACAAGCGTCTTCTAAAGGCATATGGGTTCCTAAGATGGTAATATTTCATGGATTAAATGGCTAGATTGTAAAACTTTTATAAGAGAAAACGTATAAATAAATCAAAATAATAATAATCGATCAATGGTGATACATTTTACTTAGTTAATTTGGTTAAGTTAACATAACAGATTTTGAAGTCCCAACGCTACCATCATGAGATGGTTTCGTTTCTGAGACCAATAATATAGAATATACAGAAGCTTATCATAATCACACCTGCTATTTTGTTGAATAGTATTAACTGTAGTGATATGCTTATTATCTTAATATGATTATTTTTTACTGTTTTCTAATTATGGTTGTATGGCTTTTTGATAAAATAATTTTAACAAATAAACCAAAAAGTACCTACTAGTTGTATTTTTTTCTAAGTTTTAGTTTAAATTAGCTACAAATTTAGGCATTTAATGATCCAACTAATTAAGTATATTAACTGTAAATTAAATAGCTAATCAAAATAGGAGCTACTTATATATTACTATCATATTACTGTCATATTAGTCATATATATGTATATATATATATTATACAATTTTAAAAATATCGTAAAGCACTATAACTAGTTAAAATTATTTTCCATTAAACATAAAATAATAATAATTATGATTAATATATTACTAATTATAATTTGCATTTTAATATACTTGCAAAACGAGTAATATGTTAAATTTTCTATTTAAATTATGGGGCAAAAAAATACAATAGATATAACTAATATAATATCCAAGAGAGTAAAGTATAACATTAATTCTTCATAGTTAATATCTTGAAAACATTTTTTAATATAGTTTATTTATAAACAGATTAAAACCATAACGGCCAATAAGGTGTTATGTATCGCCAAACCAGTATACACACTTATATACGTATAATACTGTCATCGAGTAAAAAAAAATTTAAATTCTTATGGAATAAAGAGAAAACATTTTAACCTTTACACACATATTCGTACCAACTGAGATAAATAATAAAAATAAACAAATTTATTTATGAGGTATTAAACATTTTGTCAATTGTTTTTCGTCATATTAATCGTGTTTAAAGCATTACTTTAAATACTCAAGTTGTATTAATAATAGCATAATTTATTTATTATAAAATATTTAGATCATAATGTTTTATAACATATTTGGCACAATTATTTTGCTTTGGTTAAAAAATTACAGAATATAAATACGGGATGTTTTAAAAATATTTATTTTTTATCTAAGTAAAATAGTTACTTCTTAAAGAGTTAATAAAAGAAATAAAATGTTTGTTTAACCTTATTATTTCCATTTATAGGAGAATATTTTATACTATCATATTTATCAATCATTAGTAATACATATCAGCTGATAAATATTACCCATCCCATATCTAATAGCGCAACTGTCGTTTTAAAACAGAATGAAAATATCGACGATACTCCGTAAATACTGTCCAAGTTAAAAATTTGAGAAGATGAGTTTATGTCATAATTATATGCAGAAAAACGATACTGGGCTCATGGTAAAACGATCAAACTCAAATAACGATTTTATAAGTTTGTAAATTTCAATTTTTACGTTTTACGGCCATACGGGTTTTAAATTAAAACAGCTATATATAATGCGTTTATATTTATTTATCTATTTTTATATATAAATTAATGTTTGTCCTTTATGCATTAATACACCATTCATCCGATCGCCATAAAACTTTGGGAAGTTGTTGAGTATATTCTCGTGAAGGTAACTGGCATAGTACTTTTCGAAAATTCCCCCTAAGGGTGGCCTTAAACACGAATTTTGTACTTTAAATTCGAAATATTTTTCGTTGCTAACCCTAAATAAACACTTTGTTTGTAACCATGGTAACCACGGTACTCGAGCGAATGGTAGGTGATGTTTAAAAGAACAGGCCGATTCTATGTACCACGATTCTAGAGACGCTATTAAACATTTTCACGATTAGAACTGGATCTGATACTGGGACGGGACCGGGACTGGGACCCTTGAGTAAGACGGTGACATAATCAATATAATGTAATGTACATATGTAGATTAAAAAAAAAAAGCTAAAACTTTACAACATACAGCCTAGAGTACTGACTTTTTTTAATCTTATTTGTAATTATTTTACTCATCCCTGGCAAACTAATTCCCGAGCAACGCCGGGTCGGGACAGCTCTTTTAACTATAAATCAATACTTTGTTCTGTGACCTTCAAATATTAAATATTATGATGTGACGTGTTATTCATAACGTGTTCATTAACATTACAAGTTAGGTTGTTTTCAGAATCTAAATCAATTATTGATTATTGCTAACGAAAAAACCGGCATACTATAAAACCTAAAGAACTGGAGTTAGCATGATTAGACATAGTAAAAATAATTATTGCTTAATAGTTAATATGATTATATTATTATTATCATTAGTTATAATACATAGTGTAAAGAGTGATTTGTTTTGTCACGTGGGTCTAATCTGATTGTATTAAATATGAATACGAATCTAAATTTGTTTGTTATGTTTGTATTGGTCGGTTTTAGTAAATCAATTAAAAAAAGTTCCAACCCTTTGTGCTTTGGTCAAACATTTCGAAAACGTGACTTACATTTATTATGATGTTCAGCTTAATTGCCGTTAAACGAGGATCCGATGATGCCGCAGAATGGATAATATTGTTTTAGTCCAGTTTGTTATGGTGACAATGGGCTGGCGCACGGAAGCACTTCGCGGAAAAGTTATATGTATTTAAACAAAAAACAAAACCAATGAATATATTTTTTTTAAATAACGTCAAACTGACAGATACGTAATGACACTGCTTGAAAAAAAAAATGTGTAATAAAAAATAACAACCACCGAAATCGACGACCGAGCGCAATCGTAGTTAACGGATAAGTGTGTCAGAGGCAAAGACAATCATAATACACAAGAGAAGGCGGAGCTCCAGTGTGTGTATGTTTGTGTGACTACGGAGTACGTTTCTCTCGGCGGCTGCGGTTCCTCTCACTCTGACGGTTAAGGTTGAGGTCGTTAAGTAATGAAATTAATAACCGGCTCGAATGGTTTGTCTTTCTTTTTTTTTTTTCATTTCATAGACTGATTACGGCGACTAAATGAAACAATTAAACCGCTTGAAATCGAGTTGAAACGACAACTAAGATAATATTCATTCGTAAGCGTTTATTATAATTTTACGTGATGTCCAATTTAGACGGTAATGTAATAATTATTAACAGATAAACGGTATAAAGTATTTGTGTACCTACACAAATATCAAGTCATAAAACGTTCAAATATTGTAATACGATCTTAAAAATAGGGTTTCCTTTAAGGATCGTTAAACGCCAAAACCATAATCGGTACGCAAACGTTACCGCCATTTACGCGAGTGAACATGAAAAATCAAGGATGCAGAACTTTACCGACTTAGGACTGTTCCGGGTGTACAAACCTAGCCGTACTGAGTATTCATGGAAAATTCGCAGCGCTTTTTTAGAAAATGTAAAACACATTTTATGCAACCGATCAATTAGTAATAAAGTGGTAAGAGATGTTTGAAAAAAAGGAAGATCCCGGGCCTTATGGGAGAAAGATAAAAGCAATATTTGTAAAAAAAAAAAGTGGTTTTAAAAAATGTCTATTATTTCAATTTATATTCAGGTAAACCGTAGGTATAATATTTTAACGTATACAATTTTTTCTATGACCAATAATGAATAATAATTTTAGTGGTAAAAAATTAATTTACGGGCAAAATGTTTTACCTCGTAGAGTAGTCCATTTCTATTATTATTATTATTTTTTTTTGTTGTTGTAGCGGAAAGAGAAAAGAAAGTTATCAAAAAACTAAAAACGCTACCCCGTAGATAAAGTTCTTCTCTATCTATTGTAATAATTGTATACGGCTACTCTAAATACCGCCCTCACAATCTTGTCCCCCGCAAAACCATTTTTCGTGGATAAATTACGGGTGGTTAGCGTCCTCTTAATCAATTCCATTTCCGAAAAATTAAACAATTTAAAATATATTTTTATTTTAGAAAGTGGTTTTTCTTATGTTACTGGAAATTGCAACGAATATATTTATTCATAATACCTAACTTTCTTTGATTACACACCGTTCAATTTTTCAATATAAGTAAAATATAATGTGACTAAATTATTTAAGTCATTTAATTGTACATTTTTATTAGAGAAAGAACAAATTTAGATATCTGTTATTTTATTGAACACTCACTACACGACGCTAAATAACATATTAATACATTACATGTATACTAAAAGAGATAGTTTATAATAATATAGTAATCAAATATACGTATATTGATTCCTATAACTATTGGCTTACATTCAAATAAAAGTGAGGTTTCCGTAATTTTTCTTGGTAAATCTAATACTGTGCAGTTCATGGAATAAGTATTTTATTTTTATCAACACAGTGTTTGTTTAAATAAAACCGGAAAAATTTCCCTATCCATTAATTTTATTAGTTGTATGTCGTCTCCCGAGATTTAAAACCGGTGTGTACACAAACAATTAAGTGTGTTAGTCAACTCGATAAGAATGATATTTATGGCTGTACCTTAGGATAATAATGCCCAATCGTGAATGCGCGGGCGGCATAATAGCAACAGCCTAGTTGCTATTATGATTTATAATCAGTAATTGATACGTATTATACAAAATCGTTTATATTAATAATAAAATACATTTCAATAAAGAACAATGTATATTAACGACACAATGCGACAATTTATTAGCTATAACACTATTGAGTCATTCAATATATCAGTATGACATTATGTTAATTTTTCTCCTTGACTAATTGCAATATTCAGTATAAATTATAATAGTTAGTTAAAATATACCAACCCTACTACTCGACTGCGTAAAATTTAAATTGAATTTATAGTTCATACATGGTTCATTCGACCCCTGGCACTTAGCTTGTAAGGGATGAGCCAGGTGACATGTTAGAATAGAAACTAGTCACTGAGGGGGTGCAAAACATATTTATTATAATAATTTGTATACAGTATTATATAAAACAAGTAACTGACCAGTCATTGTGGTCATAATATCATTGCTATTATAATATTAATACTAATATTATTACTATTTCAGATTGAAAAGTTACGATCTTTAAAAAAATAAATTTTAACTTTTTTTTCACATGATGGATTAAACATCTCATTTGAAAATTTTTAAGCCAAAACTTCAAGATTATATTATTTCACTATAAATATAACTAAGACCAGGAATTGTTCGAAGTCCTGTATATGTGTAATTTTTGTTTGAATATTAACTATTGTAATTACCCATGACTTAACAATTCAGATTTATAAATTATTCTAGGTGTTCTATTTTTAGCTTTGTCATGCTATTGCTTAATACAATATAAATAATAAGTAACAATCGTTTTTATAAATAATTATTATAAAAAGCGTATATAAACTATAAAAAAATGCTATAATGTGTAATCACAAAAGCAATTAATAATAAAAAGAAAAAATAATACGCCATTAAAATTGAATTCATAATCTAAAAAATAGCTTTTTTCGTGATGCCCAACATTTAAGAACCGTTCAATACTTTTTTCTGAAAGCTGAGAAAATTTTACATTAAATATGTAAATTTAAAATTGGGATCTCGATAAAAACGCTTGAAACAAAAAAAAAAAGAGGTAAAAACTCATAGATAAGTTGAAAAAATGGAAAATTATCTTACTTTTACTCATAATTATTTTATTTATTTTGAATAGGTACTATGGTCGTTTTTCTCGTTAAAAATGAAATTTAAGAACATTCTTTCATTGTAACAGACATGCAGTGTAATTTCCAAAAAAATCGACAAAGCACGGTCCAAACGTTAGATGTTTTGACCAATATATTATAAAAACTGTATTAAAAATCAGTTTTTTACACAAAATTCAGAAAAGCTTTTTAATTGTATTATAACAACGAGAAAGTTGCAATTATAATCATGTGTCGAATTTCATGATATAATTGCTATGATTGTTGACTCGAGTATGAATAATACAGTTTTAACCTAGTCACCGACATATCTAGCTTAGAGGAACCAATTTCAAAATATTTCTTAGGGCGTAGTAGGTAATGGATGCTTGTACCGCTCTACTTTATCGCGCTAATCACTGGGTTTGAAAATTACTGTATAGTTACAAAAAAAAATATCCACAATAACAGTATTTCACATTGTCAACCGAATCACACATATGTCTGATTTTATAAAATCTTTTTTAGTGTTGCTTGTATTATAATTAAATAATTATAATAAGATAATAATATTCATCATGTAAATTATAAAATAGTATCTAATTGTAAGCTTCCGTTTAAGTATACCGATTAGTTAGCTGTAAGTAAATAATCTATAATAACACACAACGGACATATTTTGTGTGCAGTAGTCAAGTCAGAATAAAACAGATTAGAAAAATATTAAATTAATTTTGAATTATATAATAATTGATTAATATTTCTATTGACAGTGATGCAGAAAAGTGATTAATAAGATTGTACATACTTGAAAGTTTTTAAAAAAATGATTATGTATTTAGTACTTTATCCTAATAAAGATATTAAAATAATTATAATAAACTAAGAGTATAAATTATTCTTGTTTTCAAATTTTCTGATATTTAAAGACTCTTTGTTCTGGTATTTATTAAAGGCTACTTAAGGTAGACTTTAGGTAGACAAATCAACATTATATTATGTATTTTGTCTACATCGAAATGCGTTATTTATTATTTTTCATAATATTATTTTTATTATCTTAATAATAGGGTTCATATATTTTTGTTTCTCCCACAAAATCATAAAAAATACCATTATTTTTGTTCAACATTTTCTAAAACCCAATATCATGGACAGTAAACTTAATAATAGCTTTTCAATAAACAATTTAAATAAATCATAACTCGGTAATTTGTTAAAACTTATTTTTGTGACAAAAAAAATAGCCAACTCTTAAACTAACCAATTTTGTTTGTTGTATCTAGTTGTAAATGTCTAAAATGGGGGAAACTTATAAGACCATAGCACGACTTATAACGTAATCGTAAAAAAAATAATTATAAATGGCCATATTCTAATATTCTAATTAAATAGGTTTTGTTAAATATGATATTAAATGTATTTAACCCTTAAATGCCGATTTTTTAAAAAAAAATGTCTTCTTCTTCTCAAGCTTTTACGGTCCTTGAATGACTTTCGCTGCTTACATTCCTCCATAATTTTAATTTTATAATGTACAATTTTTGAAATAGATAAAATTATATGGAACTTTAAAAACTGTATTTATATATCTAAAAACATAACGTTTAAACCATCTGGTAGATTGGAAATGTATTTTTTCTAACAAAATAATATTATGTAATCAAAATGTTGAATTTCTGCTACAATAGGTGCTAATTTTTGTTTTTATTTAAAAGTATGGATGCTTATCTATACATGTAGAATACATCTATATAGAATGAAAAAAAACAAAAATTTGTTTCCGATGACTAAATTTAACCAGAATAAAAGTTAAAATGATATAGTGTCACTATTGTAATCTAACCTAATCCTCAGCCGCAGCCGGCCGGCATACGGTTTGCGGTTAAATAATACTCGTTGGCTAGGGCGTCATCGTTAATTTACCTATTTCTAATTTGAATAAAAAATAGCTAAGATATAGGTATAAAATCTATGTAAATACAATACTCAAACAGAAAAGAAATACTAGTTGTCTAAACACAACGCCTTAGAGTTCGAATTTTACAAGATTAAATAACTATGATAATTATTATCAAATCAAATAATTACACAGATATAATTTCAACGAAAATGCCATGCTTCGTTTTATATTTGTCGATTTTAAAATTATCACGTTTCCTGTTTTTGAGCTTAAATATAATTCGTTAAGAG